TTACGCACTTTTTGGTCCCAAAGTGACTTAACAGAATTTCTTTGTATTTCTAAAGAGTTTGGCATAGTTTCGGAAAGAAAATCAAAATAAAAACAAATAACAAATCTTATTTTTTTAACTTATCTTTTTAATTCAGGTTCTAATGTCCTATTTGGGCATATAAACAAATACCTAAATCTGGAAAGTGGTGAAACCGCAGCCAAAAATAGATGCGGTCTTCCACCGCTATTCTTTTCGCTGGGGACTGTATATGCTTAAATTTGACAATGTAATTTACAGATTGCAACATAAAGTCAGAACGGTCAAAATAAAAATTTGCTTATAAAGAAATATTGCTACAGTTCGCTATCTATTACTGGAGTTCAGGAGAGCAAATTGATCTTTTGCATAGGTGTTTTCGTGAATTGGGATGTTACTGAACTTTACTCATACTACAGCCCTTATTACTGTTGTTGCATCCCTTAAAACTGAACTGGTTCCGAGCGATTTAATTATTTTATGAAGCACGTAAAATTTTTCTATTCCTAATATGAATTACTACTCTATTCGTACTGCAAATAAAGGTACCAACTATTATAAAATAATTCTATATCCGCTGAATCGAGGGAATAATTTAAATATAAATTTGTGACTAATTACTTGATTTGCTTATTGACTAGTCAAAATTTCACTATCGCTCGCTCACTTGTTCTCTATAAAAGGTATTTTATTTAGAAGGTATGAGTTGAATTATGCGTCGCTTGGCATTTCGATAATATTATTGATATATTTACACAATATTGACTTTAATTTAACAATTTAATTATAAGGACGGTATTTTATTTAGATAAATAAATATTTTATTATGAATTGATCTGATCGTTATATATGGAATATCATGTGTACTGACGATAAGAGAAAGATTTTACTATTCAGATAACGTCGCCTTAACAATTATAATTAGAACTGATAAACAAAGTCTTCTCAGCTCTTTGCTTTAAAATAGAGGTTGGAACCAGTTTTATTTTTACAAACCATTCGACCAACTGACTTGAAATTGAATAATCATGTTTTAAATAGTAAAAACACTTTGTATTAAATTAATAAAATTAAAGTTTGCGATGATGCTACGCTATTAAATAAAAATGAAAAGTAGTTTTAAAAAATGGCATGCTAGACTAGAATTGTTAAAGCAAGAATCAAAATTATAAATATTTGATTAAATTAAAACTTCTATTAAGTCAAATCTGCTCTATTTGTTAATAATAATATTAAAAAATTATTGATATATTTATTTTATTTTTGAATGAATAAGAGAAAAAAGAGGGGAGTTTGGTGGTAATCTTTATTGCCATTTTTACTTTTGTCAATGACCATACGAGTTTGTCCATCATCCCATTGCGCAGAAGTTCTTACTATATGTAATAAAGGAAAGTGAAAAAAAGACTTGCTTATATGGATCATAATTAGAGGTTAGGTCTAAATTAGGGTGTCCAGGAATATGTGACGCAAATATATGCATGCACATATTTTAAGAATTTTTTCACATATGTTATGTGCCACATATTTTATAGGAAATCACATAAAATATGCTGATCACAATTATAAATAATTTTTTGTTTGATAATGATAACAGTTAAATTCAACACAAATACAGTCCCCGGTGAAAAGAATGACAGAAACATATTTCGACGGTATGTACAAACTTTATTTTAATGTATATATATTTTTTTATTATTTATAAGAACAATACTAACAACAACTTTTATATTATTAATTAATATTTGATGTGTCCTCCTTCTACATTGATACATGCTTTAACTCAGCTTGGTATGACATGGCGTTATCAAGATCATCCCATTTCTGCCGGATTGTATTAAGAAATATATCACAGGTAATTTTTTTTTTTGCTACTAAATACTTGATCTTTTTCTCTACCTTTCCTTTAATACAGCCCATACATTTTCAATAGGATTTAAGTCTGGGCTGTATGAAGGCCAAGAAAAAACTCGATGTTTTTTCAAGTTTCTCTGAATATTGTGTGAGGTGTTTTGGGTCATTATCTTGTTAGAAGATCTAGCCGCATCTGTATAACATATCCATGTTATTATATAGATGGTCGTCTAAGATTTTTCGATACAAATGATGATCTAAATTTTCAGTAAACAAATAAATGCTGATTTTTCCTTTAGCACTAATTGCTGCCTAAACATAAACCTTGAATGGGTACTTTACCATAGAAGCAATTGGTTGTGCATTATGAAACCATGTATACATGGTATTTATAAACATCTGAAGTGTTGTTTCATTAGAAAAAACAACTTTTTTTCAGTTGTATTACGAATAATCACGTGCTCAAGACAAACTAAAATTCTTCACTTTTTGGATCAAGAGAGAAACCTTTCTTAGAAGAACAGAAACATATCCAAGATTATTGAGCTCACAACGTATTGTACATTCACTGACATCAAAGTTGGAATTTTTTTCTTTCAATTTTGCTTTAAGTTTGCCTACTGTAATAAAATGATTATATTGCAGAATTTTTCCAATATGGCAGCGTTGATTTGAAGCCAATTTTCTTGAATAGTCAAAAGAGTGACCAATAAAAATTTTGCCAGTTTTATTTGATAAACTGACATATCGTTCACATGTGCATAAAGGAATACACAATCAATTAGAAATTTCCTTTGCATTACATACTTTTTGGTCTCAAAGTGACTTAATAGTATTTTAAAAGAGCTTGGCATAGTTTCAGAAAGGAAATCAAAATAAAAACAAATAATAAACCTTATTTTTTAACTTACCTTTTTAATTCAGGTTCTAATGTCCGATTTAAACATATAAACAAATACTTAAATTCAGAAAGTGGTAAAACTGCAGCCTAAAATAGATGTGATCTTCTACCGCCATTCTTTTCATCAGGAATTGTATACACCATTTAATTGAATTTTAAACTATGGAGGATTTACAGTAGATAAAAGAAGTAATTGAAGAAGGAAAATTGGATTTAGATAAATATTGAAAGAAAAAAATTTAATATTACCAAATTTATCAAAAATAGTATTGATTTATATTTGGTTACTAGTAGCTGAAGTAGATATCCCTTCTGGAGTAGATATAGCACAATTTCTAATTATAAAAATATTTTAAGTGAAAGAAGAATACACCTTTCTGAAAAATCTATTTTATTGCTTAATTTTTTATATTATAATAAAAATAAATAAGTTGATTTTTTTTTGCGAATCATTTTTATATTAGTTTACCTTTAATAATTTACCTAAAATTTAAAAATTTAAACATAATTTTTATCAGAATTTTGAACACATATTATCGCATATTTTATTTATTAGCACATACATATTTTGAGATTTATCATCACATATTTCTGAATACCTTACGTCATATACAGTAAGTATTGGGATTAAAGATGGCACTATAACTAGTTGCAACTGGTAACAAATAAGCATCACAGAGTTGCAACTAGTTGCAACTGGTGACAAATAAGTATTATATGGTTACAACTAGTTGCAACGTCATCTTTAGCTAAGATGATAAAAAATGTTTAATGATTTGAATTATTATAATCTAATTGGTAGATCATAAGGATTAATCAGATTAATTAATATTGATCATTCTCATTATTAAATCTCCTCTCTTTAATTCAAAATGTTCTTTACTTCTTTAAGCTCTAATTGGAAATCAGCAACAGTAAGAAAAATAAAGAAAATTTGAAATAAAGTTAATAACATAGTCTATAACTATCTCAAACTTCTAAACTTTTCTTTATGGAAAGAAAAGTAAGTGTGACTCATACATGTTTTTAAGGTCTGCTCACTTTTGACCTATATTAGTTTTCAATTTGCCATTTAGGATTGAAAAGAAAATTTCAGTGAAAGAGTATAACACTTTTGTTTACCATTACGAGTTGATTGAATACAAATTTTATTGAAAAAATGAAAATATATAAATTATTGAAATGGCAATGTAGATCATGAAACTATCGTAATTTTATTGATGAGATACTTTGATCTTCTAAATAATGGTGTACTACTTCGTCCTCTAATAAAAGTTCTTCTTCAACTATATAAGAAATTTCCTTTTAATATGTTTGGTCTTTGGCTTGTAATATTGATTCACATTTTTTCTATAGATCACTTTACCGGTCAAGAGAAAAAATAGCACTAACTGTTGTAGTATATCCTACTTCTGCTTATGTTTTACAACCTGGTATTTCACATCCAAACCTTCCACCTAATAATACAAATGTACTTTTAGTTTTTTAGTTTATATATTATTTGTTTGAATCACTTTTCTATTACTTTTACATAAGGGTTATCTCATGCAAGAATTATCATTAAGATAGTTAACTGTTAAAGCCTTGATGACTTAAATGCAAGATGTGAAATGTAGATATATCAACAATATATTCAAGATATACTTGACATCAAACTTGATGCTATTAAGAACTATTAAGAAAAAGTTCATCGGTCAATGTTAGTATATCTAATTTATTTTTTTTATATAGTTTCATCTCTAAGAGTTTTTTTAATATAGGCTACATTATAGATATGTCAAAATATATCACCAATGGTACCAGTAAGATATGTTACAACACTAGGATTTACAGCATCAATGAATCCAAATCTATCAAAAGTGTCTTTTAGAATTGTAAATAAGATTTATCTACTGTTAATTATTTTTTTTATAATAATTTTGGCTATATTATAGTGAAATTTAACACTTTACTATATGGTACTACTAATGCTACTGCTTATCAAGAGAACTCCTAATAAGTTTTAATACTATTATAAGAATTAACGTTCTGAATAAAACTGATTATATCATAATAGTTCCTAATGTAATCATAATTCCTAATTTCATCATAGACTTATTCTTAGTCTAGCAAGTAGTTCTAAATAATCAAAGAGTATAATTTAATATAATAATAATATATCTTATATCATTGTAAACTAATGTAATATATATAAGCATACTATCATAATTAGGCCTTTTTTAAGGCCTCTGATAATACATAACAAATTTTTTTTATTTTTTTTATGATTTACCAATCGTTCTAATATGTTCTAATGTATTTTAATACCTAATAAATCGTTTAAACACCAAACTAATCATTTCAATTTTTGACCAAGTATTTTGACAAGTAAAAATTTCAAATTGCTAAAAGTTTTCACACTACTTTTCACAAATTTTTTTTAAATATATTTTACAAATTATATACACTATAGATGCCTGCCGAAACTTCCTCAAAATAATTTCGTCATACCCTTTTCTATGTTTTTAATATAGTTTTGACAGTTTCGGCTTTCGTCGTATCGAATGGGTTTCGTCATATCCCTTATTATGATTTTAATATAGTTTTGTCTAAGTTTTGACTGTTATTAAGGGGTTTCGTCCCTCATCTATAATATACACCTTTGTCAATTACTTTTCTCAAAACTTCTATTTGACAAATTCTACTCTCACTACTCTCACTATTACCTTCATTGCCTGCTTTTGCTTTATATGAATGTAAAATTTGTAAGACTTCATACAAAAGTAAATCTAGATTAACACATGAGGATTTTATTCAAAAATACAATATATGATGTGAAGGATTATACACATTACCTACAAAAGCAATAAATGAGTTTAAAATTAGCTTGTTCATGTTATTCAAGGTAAACTAAAAGATCATTTTTTTCAATTAGGTAAACAAATTGTTTCTTTACCTTGTTAAAAAGCTTATTTTTTAGAGTAATTGAAGGTTATATTCATCATTATAACTATAAGACAGGTAATTATAAATGTTTTTTTAAGATCTAGATACATATATACAAATAGCTAATTTATTTAAATAGAATTATAAGAAAGGGAAAGAAGATGCAAAAAAAAAAACATCAGCAAGGTATATTAAAGGTATTACAAAAAGGAGTATTATATAGTTTATCAAATAAGTATTATATAATACTAAAATAATATTGAGTACAATAATAATTGTAGCTTATATCATAGGATCTATATTGAAAAATTTTAAATTTCTTTTTTGTAAAAATTTACTCAATCGTATTATATGTTTCAAGATATCATAAAAATAAAGTAAAAATGCTAGCATTTTCTAAGATGTTAGTTACTTATATAATTCTCACTTATTATTATTTGTTAATTCTTTGAAAAGTTTAAGTAATGTCAGAATTAAATTACAGATATTTTTAATAGCTTTATATAATATAAGCAGTGTTAGAATTAGACTTTGTCTAATTTTCAATAATAAACTATTAGACTTTAGACCTAATAGAGATATCTAATCCAATTCTAATTCAAATGGACTATAATTATATAATATTAGCTAAATCATAATTTTATATATTATAAAAATTTAAAATTAATATTACAAACATTTCAAATTTACCTCATTCTGCTAAAAATCAAAATTCTAAATGGAAATATCTAAATATTTATATTAAAAGTTTAGAAAAACCTAATTATTTATTAAATTTTATTAAGTAATAATTAGTAAGTTTAATGAAATTATAATAAATATCAATAAAAATGATTTATATATTGCTAAAAATTTATAGTTATTAGACAAAGTCTATAGTTCAATAGTCCAAATTTTAATGGAATTAGAATAGACTAAGTTCATTAGTCTAGCAGTTCAATAGTCCAAAAATCTATTAGTTCAAAAAACTAACACTATATATAAGCTATCAGACCTTATATAATTTTTTTATTTTAAAGTCAGATCATAATATTTTGGATTTTCTGTAATTGTTGAATGTGTAAATATAAATTTTTAAAATAATTATAGATTCTTTTGACTAAAGATTCAACTTCTTCATAAAATTTAACTTACTTTTTTGTATCTTTACATGCTAGAGCTAATCTATGAATAATACAATGATTGATAATTAAAAAATAAGTACATATTCTAGAAAGCTTTGTGACTACATCCTTATTTTTTTCAACATAACAGAAACACTATCAGAAGCAAATGTTATAAGCTTAAATAAAATTATTTTTCTTTTAAAAATATCAACTAAACCTTAATAATATCTTCTGCATCATAACTAATTAAAGATATAATACATAAAAAACATGTTTTTAAGATTCCCTTTTAGTTACATATGAAACATATATATTTAGATTCTTTATGATAGTAATATATATACTTTCATTGATCATTTATTAAATGCTATAATATCAAATAATTTATTCCAAATTTCTTTTTTAATAGTATTTAATATTGCCTTTAAAAATTTATGACTTAAAATATTATTTGTATATGTAATTATATCACTAAAAAGATCTGATAAATCTGACTCTTTCAATAATTTAAAATAGATGGTAAAAATCTAAGAGGCAAATTTTTTTTGTTAAAAAATAAACAGTCTACATTATATTAACAATATGATTCATATTTGCATTAGAAGAAGTGATTTTTTTTATAATAATTTTATTTATATTCTTGAACTTTCTAATTTCTTTGCATCATTATGATTTTCAGTATTTATATACTCTTTAATTACTGATTTTCTTGAAATATTTATTACCTTCTATGTAGCAAATTTATTTTTTCTTATGTTACATACATAATGTACAATACAGTTAATCTACTCTAAATACATTCTCTCTAAATGTATATACTATATATTTTCTCTCTAAATACACGCTCTTATTCAGTTCTAGGTATATAGAATTCATATAGAAATTTTCTCTTTAAATGCATAACCTCTTTAAATGCATATTTTTTAAAATTTTTACTATAATCCTGAGGAGGTATATTTAGAGAGGGTTGACTGTATATTCTTTTGTTATTTTTATTATAATATAACTAAAAAAATTCATTTAACTATTTGAATTTGAATGTTTTATTATTGCTTATACAAGATTTTTTAGCATCTTTACTAGGATTATCTTCACTATTAAAAACTTGATAATTTTAAAGTAAACAACTTTTAACTCTTTTACATTTAAAGCTTTATTGTAATAATGATATTATAAAATACAATAAAATTTGAAAAAAAGATTATCATATTTTATATAATTATTTATTAATAATACAAAATATCTGGAAATATTTTTTAATTTCAGTCACATATTTCAGTTAAAAAAATAATTACCAGAATTTTTATTTTTTACTAAATTTTTTTCAAAATTTTCCAAAATTTTTTTCATGCTACTTATAATACAAAATAAGTTTGTATAAATTCAATATGTATACTTAATTACTAAAATAATATATATATTTAATTACTAAAATAAAGTTTTTTTATATGTATTTAAATATATTATAACTTATTTACATTGTTTAATATAATTCAATATACCGTATTCTTCTGAAAATAAGCAACCCCTAACATTACTAAGTATCCGAAATTAAGCAACTTCTAATAAATTTATAGTACTACATTAAAA